TCTGGATTCTCCCAACAGTCCTTTACTTTTTCTTTTCCTTCACAAGCTTTTCTCTCTCAGCCAGCATCACAGATGTCCCGGTTCATGGGATTCAGTACTTTGTTCTCCGCTTTTCTCACCGGATCTCGTCCTGGGAGAATCCTATCTAGTCCAGACTCTTTGCCCAGCTCCAGGCCTTTTACTGTGACCGTCCATTACTCAGTCCACCCGGGCGTTCCTCAGGCCCCCAAGCGAACGCACTACCTTCCCCCACAAGTGTTTGGTCTGGACGCCGCCTGTTTTGCTGGGAGACACCGTCACCGTCCCCACAACTCCCAGCCTGAAGGGTTCCTGTCTGCGCGCCCCCCGCCACAGCCGGCCTTGCCCTCTCTCCGCTGGACCAGGGCTGAGCCTCCGGGCTGGTTCCCCTCCCTCATCATCCTCAGCCTCCATATCCCCCTTCCTGCTTCACCGAAGGCTCAGCGTCCGCGAGGTGGCCCCGCTCGCCCCGCCGTCTCCCCGCTGACCCCGCGGCCACCGGGAGTCCGGCCGCGGACGGGGACCCTGCCGCCGCCACAGGCACCTGCGCCCGGCCAGCGGCCTCACTCACCTCGGCGCTTCATGGGGCCGATCTCGTTCAGCTCGTGGTTGTGCCTGCACATCGTGTCCAATGCGGTCCGCATCCGCTCCAGGAGGTCCTTCTGGCTGTTCCAGTGCTCGGCGGACCGCCGCCCCAGCTCCGTCACCGCCACGAACTCCCCCGCGTCGCTGTCGAATCGCACGTCCTCCTCCTGGTTATAGATGTCTCTCATCACGAAGCGCTGAGTCCCGTTCAACGCGTAGCAGTCGTACCTTACCTGGTACACGTAATTCTCTGCGGGCAGAGGCGGAGCTGAGAAGGCGGCCGCTCCCACCCGGTCCCGCCGAACCCCTCGCGCGGTCCTCGGGCTGAGGACAGGCCGCCACCCGGGCCGCCTTCAGCCGGACTCGAACCCTCAACGGCCTTGGGCCCGCGGGCCTGAGAGCGCTGAGCCCGGGTCTCCTGCCCCAGCCCTCCGGGTCTAGTAGCTGTGTTTGTATGTGTGGAGCTCCCCTCCTCTCTCCCGTACATTTATCAATTACATCTAAAGTACAAGGTTTTCTCCACCCCGGATATCCGCACCTCACGGCCTGAGTTTAAAATACATCCTCTCAACACCCCCACACCCCCAAGAGTTAAGTGACCTTGGACAGGGTCTCAGAAATTTTGTGGCCTCTGTCTTCTCACCTATAAAATAAGAGCATATAAAGAGTAAATTGTGATTCAATGAGAACCAAAAAACCAAACCAAACACACTGCAGTTCAGTGGGATCCGATTCATAGCAGTCATCCTGGGATTTCTCAGGCGGTATCTCTTAGGAAGTAGATTGCCCAATGTGCCTTCTGAAGAGTGGCTGGTGGGTTTGAACAGCCACCCTTCTGGTTATCAGTCAAATGCCTTAGGCTCTATGCTGCCAGAGCTCCTGATTCAATGATAAGAGATGATTAATTAGGTGATGTTTACAGAGTTGTGAACATACTGAGGAAGAAGTAGTTGGATTCTGCTAGCAGCTGGAGGAGGAGGGGATCAGGGCTTCCAGGAAGGTGGTGGTTCATCGGGGTTCACAGAGAGAAGTGGAATCTCCCCAGGGACAGGGAGCAGTGATGAGATACCCTAAGGCAGAGGAAAGGGGAGCTAGGAGAGGAGAAGGAGAATGAGCTCCTTTCCTCCATATTGTTATCCTGGTGACAATCTTGGTTCAAATGTCACCGCCTCCACAAAGCCTTCCCTCATTTCTTTCTCTGTTCCACAGTTTGGTGTTCTTTCTTATGGACCACTGCTTTAAAAAAAATAAAAATAAATCACAGTCATCCAATCAATTCCATTCCCTCTTTGTATCATACCAACACTTCCTTGTATTTCTGCGGAAGTAGATTGCCCAATCTGCCTTCGGAGGAGTGGCTGATGGGTTTGAACCTCCAGCCTTCTGGTTAGCAGCCAGACTGACACTGCCAGAGGTGACCTACCATTGCCACATCTTGTATACAGCTCAATTCTCCCCTTGTGGTATAGGCTGGAGATAAAGAGAGTTTTTAAAGTCTGGCAAAAGAAAGGCTTCCTAGCCTGCATTTAATGTATCTTTTCACTTTTCAAATGTGACTGGAGGGAGAATGTGAAATTTACTTCAATCATTTGAAAATCATCACAACATCCAGAGACCTTGGAGGTGATGGCATCATTGTTCCTAGAGGTATTGATGATGTAAATTTTAATATAAAGAAATGTGGCAACCTTTATCACATGATGGTTTTCTTAAGGAGTGCCAAGAGCAGGTGGAAAAGTGTACAGAAGTAACAATGATCCAGCACATTTGTGTTTGCTTCTGAGTCTTTTTGGACCTGGTCTGTTTTTGGTCACAGTAGGGAAATTAAAGTGGTGTGATTGTCTCATCTTCAAGTTAATGTCTTCGTGTGTGTGTGTGTGTGTGTGTGTGTGATTTGGGTGAAAATTTACAGAGCAAATTCACTTTCCATACAGCAGTTCACATGCACTCTGTGTCATGACATTGACTACAATTTACCCCATTGCAACAGCTCTCCTCCCACTTCCTCCCCATAGTTACCTCTTCCCTCTGTCCATCCCTCCATGCATTCCTGCCCCCTGAACTGTCTCCCCGTGCATAAGCAGCCCTTCTTTTTCCCATGATTGTTCTCTGCAAGGAGTGTATCTACCTCAGGTAAATGTTCAGCTCATATGCCTATCTTTTGTTTGGCTGGAAGCCACTGGTGTGGGTTCAATTCCAGACCTGACGGGCAGCTAAGGGCCATGGTCTCAGTGGTTCCACCAAGCTCTATCAGACCAGCAAACCTGGTCCTCTCCCCTTTTTTTCCCCAAATGATTTTGAGTTTTGTTCCACATTGTTCTCCTTCTCTATCAAGGATCTCCTACATAGATCCCCCTCCAAGTGATTGACAGTGGTAGCCAGGCACCATCTAGTTCTGGTTTCGTAGTCATATAGGCATGGTGTACCAGTCGCTAGGACTAATTGTTTCCATGAATCTTTGGTTTTCTTCATTCTTCTTTGCTCTGGATGAGGAGAGACCCATCGTTGCATCTAGATGGTCCCTTGCAAGCTTTTAAGATCCCAGGCACTACTCGCCAAAGTAGGAGGTGGAACAATGTTTGTGTAGTATGTTATGCCAATTGAGCTTGATATTCTCTGTGACTATGGTCCTGAGCCCACAGGTTCAACTACTCAGTTCCTCTGGGTAGCTGGCTGTGACCAAGAAGTGACTACAACCTTGTCTCTTGTCAGCTCTACTATACACCTGGGAATTCACATCATATAAATAAACTTATGGGACCATTGTCTGCCAGCCCTGTACATGGTCTTGGGTACACTCCCTGCTACATAGAGCTACATTATAGTTCAGCCTGTCCACTCATCTATCCACCCTTATACCCATGTTTGCCTTCACTGACAACACAGTACTGTATGTGCAAAAGGGTTCATCTTTGTTGTCTGTACTTCCCATGTACTTCTCTATGTCTTCCTCTTCCTCAATGCCACCATGTTGATCACTCACATTTGGTACATCACCCTTCTCTTCACCCAAAACGATGCTTATCTCTACCTATCTAACAGTGTTCTCTTCCCTCCCCTCCCACCCTGGTAACCAACAAAGAACATTTCCTTCCATATCTAAACCTTTCCTTGACTTTTACAATAACGGACTAATACAATATTTGTCCTCCTGTGATTGACTTATTTAACTCAGCATAATGTCCTGCAAGTTCATCCACATTATGTGGTGTTTTTCAGATTCTATGTTATTTTTTAGGAATGCATAGCATTCCATTGTGTGTATGTACCAAAGTTTGGTTATCCATTCCTCATATGATGGACACCTAGGTTGGTTCCATCTTTTGACTATAGTAAATAGTGCTGCGATGAACATGGGTGTGCATATATCTGCTCTTGTCATGGCTCTCATTTCTTTAGGATATAAACCTAGTAATATAATGGCTGCGGTCAAATGGTATTTCTAATTCCAACTTTTTAAGGAATCGCCATACAGTTTTCCACAGTGGTTGTATCATTTTACAGTCCCATTAGCAGTGTATGTGAGTCCTAATTCTCTCCACATCCTCGCCACCATTTATTATTCTCTGTCTTGTTGAAGTTCACTACCAGTGCTGGGGCAATATGGCATCTCATTGTTGTTTTGATTTGCATCTCTCTAATGGCTAATGATCATGAGCATTTCTTTGTATGTTTGTTGGCCACCTGAATATCCTCCTTGGTGAAGTGTCTATTCATGTCTTCTGCCCATTTTTCAATTGGATTATTTGTCTTTTTGTTATTGAGGTGTTGGAGTTTTCTATAAATTCTAGAGATAGGTCCCTTGTCAGATATGTTTGCAAAATATTTTTTCCCAATCTGTAG